GAACATATTAGCCAGTGCCAAGTCTTGTGTGAGGTTAAATCCTGGAACTAAAGTATGTGGAAACTACATGTTTGAATACTTTTATTCTTTTTTTTCTCTCTCTCTCTCATCGTCTCTTTTCTTTGTCCTTTTCTCTATCTGTTTTGTTTTCTTGGCTGTCTCTCTCACTCTTTTGCGGCCTCTCTTTTTCTCTCTCCGAGAGAGGCCGAGAGCTTCTCTCTCTCTCTCTCTTGTCTCCTTCCCCTCCGTCATTTTTTGTTTTGTCCTCTTTTGTGTCTCTCTCAAAAGATTACCAATCCTCTTCACCTTTTGATGAGGGTTTTTGGAGGCTCTTTCAATTTAACATAGATATTTATTTTAGATGTGTGGGTGGTGTATTGGATAGCAGCTTGCAATTAGACATTATCAAGCAGAGTTCAAATTCCAGTCAAGTTCATTACCCTCAGTCTGTCCCCAATATTTAACTCATAATCTCTTCAAAGCACATACTATGCTGCTTTCGAAATGGTTGTGGTGTTAACAATGACTATGCTCCTTTCCTGTGACCAATCTGATTGATGGATTGGCTTAGCCTAGTCTGGCACAAGGTTGCAAGTGGGATCAAATTTGTCATAGTAATGTTCTGAAAAGATAGTTTACTTAGTCTTGATCAAGTCACCTATATTGATATTTATTTAGCTTAGTCTAGCACAAGGCTACAATGAGTGAGGATCAAAAATTAGTACAGCATTAATAGTTCTGTGGAATTATGTTTCTAAGTACTACTCTCTAACCAGCCATCTATTGTTAAATTAATCTAAATTTTTTTATTCCTTTTTGTGTATATTTGTGTTTAGCAATTTATTTGATTTTGTTTCAGTTCAACTTTTGCATCGACTCAGTGTTCATGCTTCTGATGGACCACAAAAGTTACTTCGGGTGAGTATTGAAAATTTAAGAAAAATACTTTGTTTAAAATTATAGCAATGATTTTGATTTGCTGTTTGTTGACTGCAATAATGAAAAGTACTTCATTATTTTTTTTTTTTCATTGTTGCCAGTTGCTATACCAGCGTATCCTGATTGTCTAGGATTGTTACAATTTATAGTTGGATGTTATATTGTCAAATGTTCTTTAACATTTAACACTGCATTATTCGCAGCTTACCTTTCCACTGCATTGTTTTTCAAGTTTCTTCTACTGTACTACTTAATTTCAGTCATGGTCATTTTCTGTTACCATAGCAGAATATGACAACACAACTGCAAAATTCAAACCGTGGCAGGATAAAAGTTTTGCTTTGGAAAGAGCTGTGTGAAGTTGGACAGTAATTACTGCAACTAGTAGCAATTTTTTTTATTCTATAACTATGGATTAAGAACTTCAGATCACAAATATAATTATATAGTTTTTTTTTGTTTGTTTTTTTTTTTCTTTCATTTTATAAAATTTTTTGGAGGGGGGGTTTCAATTGGCTATGTAAATTGACCTGCTCCCTACAGAAACCAAAACAAACATGCTCATATGATGATTTCTTAAAATGTAAAAAAAATAAAATAAAATAAAATTGTTCATAATCTGGATTTGTTTTGGGATATTGTTAAGCACTCCAGATTACAAATTTAAATGAACAATGTTTATAGGTGGTCTAGTTTTATGAAACTCCAATAAAAAGAACAATAGTGTTGTGTATGTGAACATGTTCTGTTTGAAAGTAAAAGTATGTTATGACAATAACAGTATAATTTAGTAATAGTAATTCATTAACATTAAAGGGTGATTGTGGTAGATAGACACTAAAAGATATATTCAGAGGAGAAAGATTGTATGAATGCACAGCTAGCAACAAAAGATGACATACAAACATTGTGTAGCATAAAGAAAATGTTTAATTCCAGTTAAAATATTCATGTTCTACAAGACAATAGAGACAGAACTTTTAAAAAGTTTTGGTGTGTCAATTTTGAAAGTTGGTTATAAATAAGCTAGAATTATCCAATTAAAATAACTGGAATATAGTGGACAGTGTAAATAAGCTGCCTGGGGAAATTGTAAGTTCTGAATGGACATTTATTCAATAGAAAAGCCACATCTGGCCTCTATAAAGCAGTGTGTTCTTTGAGAGACCTGAAAGCAATCATTTTTTTTTTTCCTCATAAGCCATCTTGTTTTAGTTGAAGTCATTTGCAGGGATGAGTTTATACCATGGCACCACAGCAAAATGCAGCAGTGGCCATATTTAATGCTGAGGTACACTTAAAAAAAAACAAGCCTTATTTTTGCCTTCAACTTAAAAAAAAAAAAATTTTTTTTTTTTTTTAAGAGTGAAAAATAATTTTCTGAATAAGGTGGTTGTGGGGATTTTCCAAGAAAAAATTTGGCTAGAGAGCCCTATACAGATATATTTTCAAAGAAAAGAGGTGGATGAAAGGAATTTCAACAAATTTTACAAGTTTATTTCAATCTTGCAATATTTATGTCTACCAGAAATTAAGTGAACATTATATGTATACACATGCGCATTACTTAGTAATAATACATTTCATTTTAAAGCAGCAATACTTCAATAGACTGGTCCCCACCAAAATTTAAAAAAAACAACATATATGTCAAAATGTCAGAGATCAGTTTGACATTGTATTGTAAAAAGGACCCTCCCCCATTCTAAAATAATAGAAAATTAATGTTGTTTTGATTCTGACAAATTACCTGCATAGATAAAATTCTGAATGCTAAGCAATGAAAATTAGTCGTGAAAATATTTTTATCTATAAGAAATTACTAATATTTATGTTGGAAAATAAAGGATCATTTTGACATTTACTGTACATATTTTTTTTGTTTCAAAAGTTATTTTGATTTTATGCTGAAAGACTTTATATTTTTATGCAATAATCTTGTTCTTTTGACAACATATTGTAAGATTTGATTTCTTTTTGAAAATGTTCCACTACAATATATCATTGTTAATAATTGCAATCATCATATTCTGTTATTTGTCAATAAAAATTTTTTTTTTTGTTTTTTTTTATTAGTTTTTATTTATTTTATCAATTTTTTTTTTTTATTTAAGATTTTCCATTAATATTACATTTTACAAATAGAAAAAAAAAAAAAAAATTTGCAGATTCTAAAAATATTGCCATGGCACCCTGAGTGCCACAGTGTCCTCGTTTTTAAAGGGTCCACCAAGGCAATTTTTTGCCTGCCCCTATTTTAGTTTAAAATCATCTTTGCATTTGCAATATTTTAAAAGAGAACATGAAATAAATTCAATATGATTTGGTATTTCACTGGGTAAGTCAACAACAATAATTATTCTTGATTTGTGCTACATAATTTCAAGAAAATCAATGTCCTGTTTCCATTAAGAGCAATTCCCTCTTAAAACAAGTAATCTTGCTTCATAAAATCTAAATTATTCAAGTTATATATATATAATAAATTTGTAATCTTTTTTTATTACTCTTGTTTATTTTCTCATTATAGGTGATAAAAAATCCTATAAATAATCACCTACCAGTTGGTTGCACCAAATTAACAATGTCTTTCAATGCTCCATTGTGTAAAGATGTGAAGACGTTAGTACCAGATGATAAACCAATTGTCTTTGTGATTGGAGCCATGGCTCATGGAAGTGTGAGTATTTTGTTTTTTTTTTTTCTTTTTATAAATGGAAACCTTTACTGTTAGCCACTCAATGTTTGCCCTGCGTATGATGATAAACTACATTCAGTCGCAAGTCTTCTAACTGGGAGGGTTTGACGAGTATGGAACCACCTTTTAATTGCTACTGTTCCCAGTCCCACTCTGACCCATAGTGGTAGGACCTATTATGGTTCCAGCTATGGGAAAATAGCGAACCCCAAAACAAAACACTATGAAAGTATAGAAATATTTTTTTTATAGTAAAAATTCCAGCAATACATTTTCATAGTAATAAAAGTTACCAACAATCCATTTTTGTATTCAATTGTGAAGACAGTAACATACTTCAAAGCGCCCAAGAATAGTAAATTTCAGCATTAAATGACCCATTCAGTTCTTTTTTTTTTTTTTTTTTTTTTTTTTGTTTCTTTTTTGTTTTGTTTTTTTTATTTATCACTTGATATCCCTATACAAAAATGATACTGAATAATTTTTTCCTTTCCAATTTTAAATTCTACTTTAACTTTTTCTATATAATAAATGCCTAGTCAGTGTCTCACAGTTTTTCAATTAAAGGGACACAACTCTCAATAGCTCATCTCCTTCGTTGAACTTTTAAAAAGTAAGCTTAAATATTAATGGAATACTTAAATGCAGCGATCAGTTGTGAGTTGTTCTGTAGTTTATTGTTGACTGTCGCATCTACTCCTCCATGACTATTGTGTTGAAAGACCAGTCACAAGCTCTCTGCAGGAGCTAGCTTAAATCCTGGACAATAGGTTGGCTTTTAAGCTTATTTCAAATCATCCTCGGGGGGAAATTGTTTAAAATCTACTTTGGCAATTACCATATGATGCAGATTTTTTTTTTTTTTAACATCCAAAATTGTGTCCAAAATCTGCTGCATTTTATACTTTAGGCTAGAACTCAATCCTATTTCAGGACTCAAAATGTGCAAAATCTGGTCAAATGCAATTTATTTGTTTACCAGAGATATAATATCTATCTAATGATGTATTGCAACAAAGGGAAATAAATAACGCCTGCAAATTGATCATTGAAGTCCGAGAAGTGTTGGACACCACTACCATTGTCAAATCCTTCAGGAAATGCTGCATCTTGAACAAGCTTGACAATACCAACGATGACATCCTATCTGAGGAATTCATACAGAGATGGGGGTCAACAGAGTTACAAGAAACCAACGATGATCATGCCAATGATACCTGCTACACATATCTATATCCCAATCCGATAGAATGAATTCTGTCAATTTTACTGGTCTGATGAGGAAAGTGAATTTGGAGGATTTGACAAGGACAATCCTCTACTCTTGGCTCTCAGATGCCCATGAGGGCAGAAAAATTACCTGGATTATTCATAGTCCCGTTCAAGAATACATAAATAATTTTCACTGAAATACTTCAGATTGTCATAAAAAAAATTAAAATCAAACAAACAAGTTATTATATATATTCAATTTCATTTCAATTTATTTTCTCAATGTGTAGTTGGTGATTTAGTGGTCTTATATCCCAAGAGTCATTATCACATTTTTGTAATGGTTATGTATCACAAAAGTAAACGAAATGTTTTTTCTTTTCTTTTTTTTTTTCTTTTTTTTTTTCTTTTCTTTTCCTTTCCTTTTCTCTTTTTTCTTTTCTCTTCTTTTCCTTTTTCTTTTCTCTTCTTTTCCTTTTTCTTTTCTCTTCTTTTTTTTTTTCTCTTTTTCCTTTTTCTTTTTTCTTTTTCTTTTTTCTTTTTCTTTTCTCTTTTCTTTTTCTTTTCTCTTTTCTCTTTTCTTTTTCTTTTCTCTTTTCTCTTCTCTTTTCTTTTTCTCTTCTTTTCTTTTTCTTTTCTCTTTTCTCTTTTCTTTTCTTTTCTCTTTTCTCTTTTCTTTTTCTTTTCTTTTTCTTTTCTCTTTTTCTCTTTTCTTTTTCTTTTCTTTCTCTTTTTCAAAAGTTTTAGTAAATTGTTCTAAAAATCAGGTGCATTTTATACTTGAAAATAAGCATTTTTCACCTGGGGTTTCTCTGCTTTTTTTATACTGCATCTTATATTCCCTAGCGATGTATACACAAAAAACGTTACATCAATTCTTCTTTATTTTAATCAAAATTCTCATGTCTGTCTTTCTAATATTATGATTCTTATTCTTTCTGATGATTTTCAATAATTCACTGTTAATAGCAACAAAAACCTAACTGTTGACTGTTCCAGTCATTACAGTTTAAGATAATTTTTTCTAAACTATAGCTGTGTTTAATTAGCATTAAATTGAGTTAAATAACTCATTTATGTTGTAGTGAGTTACATACTTATTAGAGCCATATATAGTATACTTATTTTATTCCTTAAATTTAAACAGTGTGTAAGGGTTTATATAGGTGACAAGAATGACTGCCTAGATCAGAAATATATTAGCAAGTAAGCCGGCCTTGAATAATTTGAGTTAAATGTCTCATTTATGGAAAAAAAAATAAAAATAAAAATTGAGGGATTTTGATAAGGGCCAAATTATGGCTGGAAGATTGGGTCAGAACATTCCTGAAATGATACAGCTTATTGAGTGCTTGTGTTCCGTTTTGGTGAGTATCTTTTGGCAAGATGGAAAACAGTATTAATTACTGACAAGACATTAAATATCAAAGACTTGCCAATGCAGGAATTGAATGGTGGCTCACTTGCCAATAACAAACCAACAGAATGGTTACTGTGGCACAAATTATAGATAACTAACTTTTTGTTTGTACTGTGGAGTGTTTGAAACTAGTTACACTTTTATGGTTAGTCAATACCTCCTGTTAAAGACTTTTTTTTTTTATACTGCAAAATAAAATAAAATTTATTTTTGCATATTTTAATATTTTAATCTTACAAATTCATTTTTTTTAATATTGGGCTTTTTAATTTGATTATATTTTTTTTAAGACTTAAAATAATATATAACAAGAAAATTAATAATACTTTTAAATAGTGTGTTTGAAAACCATATGATGCTAATACTGTCTTCTGACAGTGACTACTTGTTGTGGAGGAGGGGCTTGCAAGATCCAATGATTCTGAGAGAGATGTCATTTGGTGTTCTAAAATTGGTGGCAAGGTCGAAGAATCCAACATTGGGAAAAACTGATGATTACAACTAATGCTGTAATTATGTTCCACGATACTAACAGAATGTTAATCAAAGTGAAGAAAAGAATGTATCACAACACACAGTACATCAATTTTTGTTATGCATGTGACTATGAATGCCAATCAGAATATGCATACTAACCTATGTCTATTGCAGAAGAGTATGTTCTGTGGTCACACTATAACACCCCTGCCAACAGTCGCATCCTTGATCACGGTCACCAAATAATGTAACACCTTTTGCCACCACACTTAGTGGTATAGTCCTCAGGGTCTTAGGATGTCGCTTTAACCATGGGCCAACTCTGCACTGTTCAGTGCTGATGCTGGTCCAAGCTGTTGGTCACTGGCTGCTTTGATCCACACTGTCTTTGCCTATGTGTTCTTAGTTTCAGAGCAGTGGAAGTAATCTTGCAGTGATGGTCAAGCTGTAGCAGGTGCTATATTAAGGAGAAAATATCTTCACAATGAAAAATAAAAGGAGAGATATGTGGGGTTAATCTTCAATTGGTTTATATAGCTCTTGGTACAATAAAATTAACCATTCCCACATCAATCTCTCTAGTGACACTGGGCCTTGTCTAAACTTCTACAAGGCTGGGTTCAGAGTCTTGGAATCAGGAATTTTGGTTGGCAGCTGATGTGGATTTTAGAGGCACTCAATGCAGGATCTCAGCCCAAAGTCTGAGCTACCTAAAGTCGTCTACTTATATGCACTTCAGCCCAAAACTGGCATGGGGCCAAAGGGTTCTGGGAATTCAGTCATTTCCCAATTTTCATTAATTCAAATAATTGTTTTCTTTGTTCCCTATTTCTGCTTTCCTAATCAGTTTTTCAAATTTGGAGAATTATCCACCTTTGGGAGTAGCATTTGTGTGGTGATGACTATGAGATAGATCCCTTGGAATGGGTGTCTGTGCAACCTTTGTCTCACCTGAAGAAAAGGCTGGTGGCAAACACCTTTGAATGAAGACAATCATCCAGCAAGTGGCTAAGCAAATTTTCATTCTATGATAGAATGAGTTTTATTTAAAAGTAATCATTAACTCACGTCATGTTTTCTTAAAAAGCTTTATCAACTCAAGATTTTCATATATGGATGTCATGCATGGCACCAAATTCATTCATAAATATCTAAGCTATGTACAACTGCTTTCTTAGATCAATGGTTAAAAATGGCTGTGAGTAAATGAAGTCTGTAGGTCTTAGAGAGGACAATCTTTCTTCGAACCTTGTGAACTGGTGCTACAAATTCACTAACAAAGAGCTATACCAAATAACAGAAACCACATCACATGAGGATTTTCAATAGCTGCAGCAACTAAAATGTATAGTACATGTAACTCTATGAGAAAATGACAAAATCAAAATGTTGACATTGCACACTACTTTGAATAAAAAGTTAGTAAGGAAACTTCCATCAATACTGGAAAGAGCAATAACTGCTACTGGACTTGAGAAACATATTTTCCTGAAAAAATATTTTAAGAGAAAGATTTTATAAATTTCTCTTGAAATTTGCACTGGCCATTTAGTCAATGAATGCCAAATGTTTCCATATAAGGAAATGGCTCATAGACAACTTTATTTCAAATAGTTAGATTCTTGTTTCACTCAGCTTTTATCTTCCAATTGGAGAACTCTTTTCTTTAATCACTTCACCCCAAACAAGGTGATAATGCCACTAAGACACAAGAGGCTACTGGGAGTCAAAGGGAATAAAAAAGACCTTAGAAGGAACCGGAAACCTAATCCTAAACAGATAAATGTCTATCCTCTTTGAAAAACTGGGGAAGCGTGTGAACCAGACAATTGGCAAACCTATCTACTCCTATTGAAAGAAGGAAAAAAAAAATAGTAAATAAAATTTCAGGGTTTAGGTGGAGGCATTGGAAGTATAGTGTTGCAATAGACTTTAGAAGGAATCCAGAAAACCCAATCCTAAACAAAATAAAGGATAAACCTTTACTTCTGTTCAAAAGATCAGGGTGGAGTGTGAATGGGATCACAGACACACCTATCTACTCATATTGGGAGGAAAAAAATAAAAGTAAATCATATTGTGTTGCACTCATTCTATTTTCACCTCAGTAGCAATTGGATGGTTTATATTGGAGGTCAAGTGACGAGACATGGTCAGGTTTTCAGCGATTCTCTTGTCCAGCTTGTTTATAATTTTCATCTTTTAGTCTGCTAGAATAGAAAAATCTCTAGTGTCACTTTTTCTCTTTGTGCTGTTGATTTGTTTTTTATTTAAAATTTTATTTTTTTTTATAATTCTTAAACTGAAGAATATCTCATACACTTTTTTTTATCTATACAATTTTGTGATTTAAAAAAAAAAAGAAGTAAATTCAGGAAATCAAAAGCAAAAATTTCTTAATGAATCCTGTTCATTGACAAATTTCTATAGAAAAATCATTTTTACTCTTATTCTATGCACTTTTGTTTATATTTTATAAATTCATTTTTTTATTTTATTAATCTTAGAAACAGAGATTGCAAGAATATTGTACTACATTAGAAATAGGTTTTCTTTATTTCATATAAAAAAAAAAATTGAAAAAGTTTTTGTCATTGTAGAAAATTATTTTTGTTGCTAAATTAGGTGTTAAACTCTATTTGGGGAGATTTAAACTCACCTTTATTTAGGGTGAGTTTTGTGACTCAACAAACACTCGTTGCTACTTTTGTTATGCCAACACCTACTCGTCACTTTCGTAATGCTTGTTGTTGTAGAGACTTTATAGTCGCAATTACAACTATATTAATGCTGTTGAACAACACTAGTGTCAGATGCCTTCGAATATCACTCGTACTAATAGTACTTGCTCAATAATACTCGCTCGAATAGTAATCCATATAGTGATCTGAATACAGAAATAGTACAGTGAATAGAGTAGAGAATAGCAATCTGTATAGTAATAGAGGATAGACTAGAAATAACAATCTATATAGTAACAGGATAGAATAGAAATGCGATCATTAGAAGTCAAGTGACTTCCTACTTATGTGTTTCCTCTATGGTCATGTGGTCTACTTAAATTCAATAATGGGATCGCCTGTGTTTGCTCACTTGCGATATATGTTCAAACTCAAGTGTCGGCAGCGACATTTTATTCATATATAAGAGGGATTTAAACCCTCCTTTATTTATGGGGTGGGTAAACTCTCCCTTATCTAGGAGGAGTTAAACTCTATTTTAGACTTTTTTTTTTTTTTTTTTTTTTTTTTAAGTTGTTATAACTGCCTAAAATCTTACCATAAGTGAGCTTTTTATTCTGGTGTTGCATTTTTCATTCTCTGTTAAAACACTTCTGAGATATTTAAATTGTTGTACTTGCTTGATTTTGGTTCCTCCAATTTGTAATTTGCATCTTGGACGGTTCCTTTTGCTGCCACCCATACATCCTTATCTTCTTACAGCTGATGGTTAACTCTTTCTTCTCACTTTCCTTTAAAAACTTCTGTAGGAGTGCCTGTAGTTTATTTATTGTGTCTGCTATCAACACTATGTCATCAGCGTATCTTGTATTGTAAAGGTTGAATAAATCTGGTGGAAAGACACATTACCTTTTCTATTTTTATGTATTTACTGAATCCATTCTCTATCCACATGCAGGGGGTTTGCTTCCAGTATAATTTCTGGATTGTTCTAATATCAGTCCTAAATAAATCAAGCTACCTTGCAGCTCAAAACAATTCATTGTTACATACCTTATCAATTGCTTTTGCAAAATCTATAAAACATAGACATACTTCCTTTTGCATTTGTATTGTTCTTTCAGATATCATTCTGAGCATAAATATCGCATTCATTGTTCTATAGAAGGATGCTGAAAATATCATGGTCCGAGCAAAGTTTTAGAGAAAATAGAAACAAAAAGGATGTTTAAGCTTAACATCAGAAAGACAGTTGAAATTTCTGGGGTACGTAATGAGGAAAGAGGGCTTGGAAAATGTAACACTCACAGGACATGTTGGAGGCAAGAGGGATGGAGGAAAGCTGAAAATACTACTTTCGGATAAAATTTATAAAATCTCTCTCTCTCTTAACTTCACTAATTTTTATCACTCTTTCCAGTATTGATGAGTGTTGCCTTCCTAACCTTTTGTTTGAAGTAGTGTGGAATATCATAATCTTGATTATGTCATTAGTTTCTCTTCAAGTTACATGTGATAGCCATTTTAGTTGTTGCTGTTGATAGTCTTCAAGTGATGTGGTTTCTATTATTTGGTACAGTTCTTTGTATGTGATTCTGTAGCACACTAAATTCTTTCTAGAATTCTCCCCTGAAACTGCATTTTTTTCTTTCTTTCTTTTTTTTTTTTTTTTTTTTTTTTTTTTTTTTTTTAGGTGCAAAAACATGAACACCTACTATTTTAAAATTTTTATAACTTTCTTTGTATTGTGTGTATAGATTTTATTTTTGTATACTAATAAAAAAGAATGGATGAGTAATATTTTGATGTAATGAATTAAGTTTTGCATCCATGTTTTGATGCTGAAAACAAAAAATTGAAACACAAAATAAAAACATTAACAATTTAACAGACTTTAACTTTTATTACAACTTGTGGAGTTCTTACGTGTAATAAATAGCAAAATGGCTAAGAAGGCTTTCATTTTATCAAAAGTGACGTCCTTCCTTGCGTTTACATCCAAGTAGACACCAGCATTTGCCCTTTCTTTCACCTGACTGGAATATTTGTCTCATTGACAAATAAAGTTATTATTTCATCGTTTATAAATAGACAAAATAATTCACCTTCAGAAAGGCTATCAGGTACATCCATGGGGCCAGTTATCATCTTCGACTACTTCACTGTCAATATCCACTTGAGTAAAGCCTTCAAAATCATCATTGGAGTTTGAATCAAAGAAAAACTCCTGAATAAAGGCTTCATTGGATGTTGATGTGGTCATTTTTGTTTACAAAAAATCACAGAAAAATTAATTGATGTTACACCTCATGTAGCATCTAGAAGAATTCAAAATGGTGTCGGAAAGCAGAAATTTAGCCTCGTTCCAAAGCAGTAGTAGGTGATTTCCAGCTTAAAATAACAGTTGACAAGTCTTTATTTATAGCAACTGTCTCAAGGCGACAGAATTTACCAACAGCTGCAAAGAGAGAGAATCCTACATCAACAATTTTTGCCTCCAGTGTGGTAAAGGTTTAAAGAAGGATGGTCCTCCTTAAGACCTACAGGCTACATTTGTTCAAAGCCATTTTTAACTATTGATCTGAAAAAGCAGTTGTATACAGTTGACAATTAAGATATTTCTGAAGTAGTTTGATGCCTTGCATGACATCAATACGACAGTCTGAATCCAATGATACTATTTAAGGACATGACTCGAGTTTTCATATTAATGTTTTGGTTTTGTAGCAATTTGCTGTGTTGTGCAAAACTATCCCAGGTGTATTGCATTTTATGTTCAGTTTCCTTAGAATTATTTATAAAGCTATATCAATCAGTTAATATTGGGTAACTTGTTAATTTTTTGAATGATATTTCTTTCATCTAGATTTTAATTATTTTTTTTTATTTTTTTTACAATCACTGAAGTTGAGGAACATCAGGCCTGGTCTGTACCTAGATGGGTGACCATTTGGAAATACCATCTGCTGTAAGTGTGGATGTGTGTATGGTGTAATGGGTAACATCTCAGAATTTGAATTCAGAGAACAAAATTCCAATTCCATTTGGTTTTGTCATATTCACTTATATGCAAATACCTTCCAGCTATGGGTTAATTAGTAGGACTTTTATCATTATTATCTCCAAAAAATTCTTACAATCTAAAAATATTTTCTGGCTTTAAATAACCTGCAAAAGGTTGATAAGCCATAAAAAAATCAAATTCAAAATTTATTTTTTTTTATTTTAGTTGTTAATAAGAGAAATAAGGACTAAATCTCCTGAGATATCCAAACTTGTTTCACTTTTCATTGGAGACTGTCTTACCAATTTATCAATTAGTCTTTCAAATCAAACTATATGGCTATATTTTTTTATTTCTCACACCTAATATGCTGCTATCTTTGTTTGCATAATAATAATAATAATAATATTAGCTATAATATTATTTGAATAATATCATTTGGTAATACCAAATGACAGCAATGGAGATTCAGAATAAAGAATAATCTTCCAGTGAGGTCTCAACTCATCTCCTATCTTCAGGATCCTCTCTCTCCCTTACCAATTAGGCTACAAAGGCTAACTGATAGCAGTCATTTAAATTCTGCAACATAGCTTTATTCATTGTTTTCTCCCAAGACCTTATGTCCTGCCATACTTTTTGTTCATATACAGTATTAGGAATAGTTGTGATATTTGAATTTCTTAAATGAAGCATTGCCAATTATGTTTTTATTTATCTATATTTTTTTTTCCATCTTAATTTCAATTGCTTTTTATTGCAACTACCACACAGTCATTCTATAATTGTTGTTAAGCAGCATGAATCGAAAATAATGAATAAAATTCCTATGAGAATCAAATGCATATCCCATTTTCCCCAGGAGTCTGCTTTCTGGAGCAGCTGTCTTACAAATTAGGCTACAAAAGCTAATTGACAGCAATCCTTTAAAACTAGCCATTTAGTTTTATTTTAACCAAACACCTTATACACTAGTAGTATTAGTAGTAATATTCTTTGAATTTCTTAAATGAAGCATTGTAATTTATAAAATTTTTTCCCCAGTATTTCCATTATTTTAATTTCAGTTGCTATTTAAACTAAATGTATATTTTTTTGTTTTTCAGGTTGATGTGGATTATACAGAGAGGTCTTATTCAATCAGTAGTTATCCACTTTCAGCTGCATTAACTTGTGCCAAGGTTTGCACTGCATTCGAACAGGGTTGGGGAATTGAGTGAAGAGGTTTTAATAAAATATACATTTTACATATCTCTTGTCTATTATCATCGTTACTTCAGTCTGCATGTATTTGTTTCGCTTAAACTTCTCAAAGTTGTCTTAATTTCTAACATCAAGCAATGTCATTATTAATTTTTAACTCTGTTTAATCTTATCTCTATTGGTATTGCCTCTAGTTGTAATTTTGTCGTCTGAATTTCTCACATTGAAACACAGATTCTCATACAATCAACGGAGTTAAGCAATGTCGAACCTGGTCAGTACCTAGATGTGTGACTGTTTTGAGAATATCAGGTGCTTGGACGTGTGGCTCAGAATTGGAAATCAAAGAGCTGAGTTCCAATACCAGCTATGTTCACTTGCATGCAGATATCCTTGGTAAAGGTATGAATCCACCATTTCTTTCTCCAGCTATGGGTTAATTAGTCAAACTTGTATCAGTAAATCTTTATCTTAAAAAATTTCTTACAATTTCAAAATATTTTTGGGCTTTAAAAAATAATCTGCAAAATGTTGATAAGCCATAAAAAAAAAAAATCAGTGTAATGGAATACTTGTTCATTTATGAACTTTTCATTTATATTCTCTTATTACTTTAAATAATGGCCTCGAGTCATATTGTAATATTTTTTTAAGCTCAAATATTTATTGATGCAGTTGGAGAATTTACATAGTTATTTAATAGTCATGGAATTTGCAAGGAGTTTATTCTGTCATTAACTTAGAATTAAGATTCATCCAGTGCTCCTATTTACCTGGAGCTCCTTGATAAGATCCAAAGATAATCGGCAATATTATTGGTCATGATCTGGCGGCCCAGCTTCAGTCATTTTCCCACCACCGTAAAGTTGCTTCTCTCTACCTTTTTTTATAAATACTTTCAAGGTAATTGTTCATATGAGCTCTTTGATATGATACCTAGACTGTATGAATTTAAGCGCAGTACTAAACTGACTGCAAGATCTCATCAATTTACAGTTGAACTTGCTAGATGTGGCTGTAACTTCGATGCTAACAGTTTCTTGTTTGTGGAATTCCCTCTTAGCTCCGTGCTTTCCATCCAACTTTAATCTGTAAAAATTTAAATGCAATGTCAATCGCTATCTACTGTCCTCTTGACTGCTCTTTTCTCTTTCTACACATTACTAATGTTTCTGTTCCTAATTCCTCCACACCGTGTAACACCTTACATCTTAGTAGCTTTACTGTTTTGCATGGGGTGATACTGATCAAAAATATCAGAAACTTCAAATAGCAAAACGGTCTATCAGAAACTTCAAATAGCAAAACAGTCAGATTTTTATGGCCGCTTTTAGTTATTCCCATTATAGTATTTGTGAAGGAATATTAGCTTGGATTGAGGAATCAGAGAGCCGAGTTTGAATTCCAGTCAAATCCATTACATTCACTTGCTAATACCCTTGGGAAAAGTATGAATCCTCTTCTCCCACAAGCTATGGGTAAATAGCAGGACAGACTGGGTTCTATAGCCTTGGATGGCAACTGGTCTACCACAGAAAGAAATGGCAACCATTTGTGGGGGAAAAAATGTGCCTCGTCAGTCATGTATCAAAATATACATAATTGCCTAAGCATGTATCACGCATGGTACATAACTGAGGGGATCAGTTTATTATTTAACAACAAAATAAAACTGTTCCTCCCAATTTGAGTTTATTGGCTATATTTTGTTAAGACCTTATTAGGTTTTCACATGTATGTCTTTAAATACTTCTTTCCCATTTGTTATTGTTGCGGTGTTTTTTGGGGGGTTTTTTGTGGGTGGGGTATGCGGTTTTGGTCATGGATTATATGAAAGTGACCTACACCCTTTTCATTTACATTCAAGTCGTCTGAAGATTGCATGAGCATGAAACTCTGGTTACGACTAGGGCCATCCTTTCACATGAATTAACATCAAGCATTTTTATTTGTCTAGGTAATCTAGGCATTGAGCACTTTAGTGAGTAGGTAGGTATTTGCTTTTGGGTCTTTTTCTTTTATCTTATTGCTGTCCTTGTTTGAGTTCTGATTTTTGTTGTTTGTTTTTTTATCTCGTTTAAGAGTGTTTAGGTAAGTTGTCCGTTAGTTACAACGGTTTTGATTTTTTTTTTATGAAAATGTCTAAAGATGTGCACAAAAGCTCTTGGGACAATGAAAATTATGGAAAATGTTTGCACTCCCTTACTCTTGCAAAACGTGGAAAAATTAAATAAAAATATTAATTCAATTTTCCTCGTCTGCCATATTTAACAAAAGAGATAGGTATACACAGCTTTGGAAAGATTTTAAGAGACTATCACATTGTCATAATGAGGAATCTACGATCTGGTGTCACCAGTGAGAGAAATAGAACTAATTATGTTCCTCCTTGCACTGAAAATATTAAAACCTTTACTGATGGATAAACTACGTCAACATCTCACCTTTACAGACAAGATATATACAAATACATTTGAAGTTTTGTGTATTTAAAACCACTTTCAAAGTTTAGAAAAAAAAAAACTTATCAAAAATTATTAAAAGTCCAATGTGAAATTTTATTTCTTCATTGAAAAAAATCTAATGATCCAGATGAAAAACTTTCTTCTAACATCTAAGTATCTCTTTTGCATTTCTCTTGGTCATATTCCACACCTGCTTCAACCAACCAAAAGCTGCCCAGGCCTTTGTCAGTCTGACATTGATATCTTTCATACCATTTGATATTGTTGCACCCATATAGGCAAAAAATGGTCAATGTTTTCCAGTTCTTCTTCATTTATTATGAGATCTTCTCGGGTGGAATGCAATAATATTAATGCTGATCATTAATCTCCTTGCTAAATATATTCTAATTCTGCATGTTCTTCTGTAAGTTATCATGTACATTATACCTTGACATTACTTCAGATAAATAATAGACCATTCCATTTCAATTGTGAAGAAAATTAGAAAAACTTTTCTTTTAGTGAGAAAAAGGAAGCATATATAATAAAAAAAAAAGTATGAGACTATCTCTTCTCCCCCAGCTATGGGTTGAATAGCAAGACAGCCTGCCAACCAGTTTACTGCAGAAAGAAATGGTCAAACATGACTCGAAACAGACATAATCATTCAAGCATGTATCACATATGGCATTTAACTGACTGATATAATAAGCTGGAGGAGGTGATAATTCTCATGCGTCTGCTTCATTGAAATGGAAAACCTTGTCAATTTTTAATCTTTTCATTTGTGCCCCCTTACTTCTTTAAATAATGACCTACATTCATATTTATGATTTGTACTATATAAAATTATTAAGCTCTTAATGTTTAACAATGTAATTTTGGTATTTTATAGTCACGGAACTTAGGAGGAGCTTATTTTATAGTCACAGAACTCAGGAGGAGCTTATTCAATCATTACTTTAAAAATTGATTCATCAGAAAATTCAAATAGGAAAACTGATATTTTCACAGGTACAATTAGGTTTAGCTATTGTTTCATTTCAACAGGATTTGTTTTTTCGTGTGTTCAAAAATGTGGCATTAATTTTCAGACAGCATCCTTCTGATTTAACAATATTGACGATGGCTTAAATTTGGTGATTATGCATGAAAAAATATTTTGAATCTACCATGGCTGTAAATTTTACTTTCAAATTTTTATGAGTCATGAAAAGAAAGAATAGCAGATTAATGAAGTTTCTTCGCAGATATTTAATTGATTCTCTACCATGATTGACATTACTTGTGGGTATTATTGCATTGTATGCCTACATTACAAAAAAAAAAGAACTTGGTCATTGTGTCACAAAACCTGAAAATTAAATAGCATTTCAGTTGAAGAAAACTTACCAAATACTCTGGTCGCAATTTTAGCATTGGTTAACCAGATAAATTTTTTTTTTATTGTCTTTTGTTTTGTTTAATCACTAACTGTATTAAAAAAAATTATTGCAAGAGTAAGATTTTCCATATAGAACATTTTTAGTAAGGTATTTATGACAGTTGTTTTTTTTCTTACTATGATTAAGTAAAGAATAGTATGTGTATTTTTTTTTCTTACTATGATTAAAGAATAGTGTGTATTTTTTTTTTTTTTTCTTACTAATTCAAACAGATAACTGAAATTTTAAAATTTCAGTTATCTGTTTGAATTAGTTGGGCTCTTATGTCCATCGTCTTTTGTGTTAAATTGTTATAAGTTATAATGTTAATTATGTTTAAATGAAAATGTCCATGAAGATGGTCTTAAATAGACCCAAAAACGTCCGACGTCGACTTTATTTTAACATTAATAATGCATATTCAGAATTTTGTTTTTTCTGTATTTTTCTTTCATACTGTCGGATTTATATCCATATATTTGCTTACATATATATATATATATATATGATAGATAGATAGCATGGATGAAAAGAACTGTGACAGTGAATAGAAAACATAAAATGTTTTAAAAGAAATAATTAGTTTCATCTTAGCAAGTTCCTCTCCCATTTTCTTAAGTGAAATTTCAGATCACTCTTGTATTTTTTTGAAAAGTTCATGTCCTTGTGAGCATATTCCCCCCACTAGTGTTTAAAAGTAATAAAGTGACTGAATTATATTAACCCGGTAACTGGGACAACAAATTTCCATCAATTGCAGTTAAATCAAATTCAATTGCAAATTTGCTTAGCATCATTTTTTTTTTTTTTTTTTTCTATAAAAGTAAGTTTTTGTTTAAAATGCATTCCCTCCCCTTTTCTACATTAGTAGGAAATGTGTGGATAGTGGAACAGTTAACAAAATTGAGAATGTGATTGACATAATGAATTCAAACTGGTTGGGGCAGTTTGTATTCATTTTGCACTAATGTCCTAGAGAAAGGCATAAAAGCTTATTTCTCCAGTTATTTGGCTTTTAGACAAGAAATAACTGAAGCAACATTGCTTGGTGTGGTTCTCTGTTCCACATACATAAATCTGTAGGAGTAATTCAGACTAGTCTCTTAAGCTGAGCACATAATGAGGATCAAATTTCTTGTAGCTATT